GCTCCTTTGGATTTGTAAAGAAAGCAGAAGAGGTGTCTTAGTCACCTTTTTGTCACTGAAACAACATCTGACACCTATAAATTAAAGGTTTATTTTAGCACACTTTTTTTAGGGGTTGTTTGTTTGTTTATTTATTTATTTATTTATTTTGAGACAGAGTCTCGCTGTGCAGTTCAGGCTGGCCTGCAGCTCACTTTGTAGCCCAGGCTGGTCTCGAACTTGCAACGATCCTCCTGCCTCAGTCTCCCGAGTGCTGGAATTACAGGCATGAGCCACCACACCTGGCTTGCACATTTTTAGTCCATAGTTGACTGATTCCAAGGGAGGTAGGTCTGGTGAAAGAAAGCGGTTCGCTGGAAAGCAGAGTGAAAGGAGGAATCTAGTCTAGAAGATGTGTTCTTCCAGGTGACACCCCCAGTGATTGCCTCTTTTGAGTAGGCTCCACCTGCCAACACCAAGCCAGTTATATCATCCCATAAGCCAGTCACCTTCTACGACCCCCAATCTCTTGAGCACATGAAGCATTGAGAAGCAGATAAAAATCGTAGCAGAAGTATTATGTAATCTTAATACAGTTGAGATTCTTGGTAGTGTTAGAAGTCTTCTGTCTAAAATACTGAAAGTGCCTAATATGTGAATTGTCAAGAGTTTGTCAAGATGTGAATTGGGAGAACAAGCCATATTTCCCATCTTACTTTTCCAGAAGATCCCATGGAACATGTATAGATGGGAGAGAAGATAGATTCGGGGAGGTTTAGAAGTGTGAACAAAGGTGGTGGATCTATAGTAAGTGACACCATGTACTCTGTATTGCCTTGGTTACTTTTCCGTTTCTGGAAAATACCCAGCACCCACAGTTTAACGGAGGAAAGGTTTATTTTGGCTCACATTTAAGTCCATAGTCAGATGGCCTCAAAGTACGGTGGCATGGCAGAGAAGAAAGTTTATGGCATGGCAGCAGGGAATAGAAAGATCAAAGTGGGAGAGAGAGCCCTTTTCATACCATGTTCCTAGTACCCATCAGGCTTCTCTCAACATGCCATTTAGCTATAAACTCATCAGTAGATTAACCCACACTGATGAGTATCATACCCCCATGCTCAGCTCCCTAAAGCTCCACCTCAGTGTTTTCCAAGATGAAGAAAAGGTTCAATCTTTATCTCAGCATCATCCATTTAAATTTTCATCATGGACTTAGGAGCTAGACTCTTTAAGTTTCATCCTAATTTTATCAATTATTCAGCATTATTATGAGACTTCATTTTTGTGGAGTTACTTGAAGCCATCCCTGGTATACAGTAAACATTATAAGTGTGTGTTTGATTAAAAGTAAAAGTTTTATTGTATGTTAGGGAACATTTAGATTATTTTTAGAAAGGCTATCCTTTTGAATTTTTTTTTGTCTTTTTCGTTTTTATCGGTACCAGGGATCAAACTCAGGACCGCACACTTGCAAGGAAGGTGCTCATGCGGCTGAGCTAAATCCCCAGCCCCTCCTTTTGAAATTTTTGATCAGACCCCTAAAACAACATAATTATTTTTCCCTCAGGCTGTTCTCAACAATGAAGGAAGTTATTAAAAAGCAACAAGAAGAAAAATGATTCCGAGAACTATATAAAATTATTAGCCTTTGATGAATCTAGTTATTTTTAGTTTGGCCACATGGTAACTCAGTAATTAAATTCTGTCTTGTGTGGAATCAGGGTTTGTAGCAAAATGTGAGAGTTTTGACTCCCTAAATGATATCTTTATATCATTTTAAGTGCTTAAGGGCTTCAAACAATTAGGTGGAGATTCCATCAGGGTTTTTTGTTTTGTTTTGTTTTTTGAGACAGGGTCTCACTAAGCAGTTCAGGCTGACTTGGGCTCACTTTGTAGCCCAGGCTGGTCTCGAACTTGCAAAGATTTGCCTGTCTCAGGCCTCCTGAGTGCTGGGATTACAGGAGTGTGCCACCTTGCTCAGCTCCAGCAGTATTCTTTGCAGTCTTTCCAAAGGCCACATTTAAGTATATAAAGCAGTTGGAACGAACATGATATTCTTGGTAGTGGTTGCATTTGTACTTACTGTGTGTAGTTTGGACTTGGATGTTTTAGTTAAAAATCTGTTAAAGGTAGTTCTGTCTTTGTTCCTTTTAATAACTTTGCATAGCCTTGATTTAGCAAACCAGAACAATAATATATAATTGTTTTAAAGAATGTAAAGAAAGGGAGTATCACTTTGCAACTAAATTTTAAACACAAAACTTAAAAGTGGAATCGTAAGGGCCTAAATTCGAAAGTAACTTTGTAGTATTTATTCTTACTCCATGTGTCTACATTGTAGGAAGCACTGTTAGGACCTCTGAGGTGAGTATACAATCAAAAATCATTTCCCTCAGGTGGGTTATAGTTAAAAAGACATCTATGAATTGCAGTTATCAGAACATAATATAGAGTTGATGTGGAGGAAGTATTACAGATGGTTTTGTTAGCAAGTCATGAAAGTGAGCAGACCTATTGTGGAGATTTAATCAGTTATCAGAAGCCTGTCAAAGAGAAGTCCACGATCTGATAGTTTCACTTATAAATTCAACCAAGCATTTAAATAAGAATTAATGACATTCCTCAAAAACTGAAAAGGAAACTTTTTTTGTGAAATCAGAATTACTCTGATGATAAGAAAGATACCACAAAAACTGTACATCAATATTCCTGATAGAGATGCCAGTATCTTCAAAATAATGTCATATGCAACAGCATATTAAAGGGATCATACACTGTGACCAAGTGTATCCTTCCTGGGATGCAAGGATAGTTTAATACATAAAAATCAGTTAGCATGATATATCACAATCATGAAGGATAAAAATCACATGAACATATCAGTTGGGCAAATTTTGATAAAAATTCAGCACTTCATAAAAAGAAAAACAAAGTAGGTAGATAGATAAGGGAAAATACGTGAAGTCAGAAATCTTTTGTATAGCAAAAGAAGCAATCAGCAGCGTGAAAACAGCCTACAGAAGGGGAAAAAATAATTTGCAAATGAAATACCTGATCAGGGGCTAATACCAAGTTATATAAGGAACTTCTACAACTCACAATAATAAACTATTCATTTTAAAAAATGGATTGAGAAGGGCTGGGGATTTAGCTCAGCAGCATAAGCGCCTGCCTGGCAAGCATGAGGTTGTGAGTTCGATCCTCAGTACAAAAAAAAAATGGACTAAGAACTTGAATAGATTTTACTTTGGAGAAGACAGGTGGCCAAAAAGTATATGAAAAAAATGTTTCACGTTACCAGTTGTCAAGAAAATGCAAACTAAAACCACTGTGAGATACAACTTTATATCTGTAAGGGTGGTGGTTATGAAGAATGCAAAAGACAACAAATGTTGGTGAAGGTACAGATAAAGTGGAGCCCTTGTCATAGTTACTAGAAATGGATTTGACTACTATGAAAAACATAGAAGTTTCTCAAAAGTTAAAAAGAACTGTATAATCCAGCAATCTCATTTCTGGGCATTTATCCAAAATAACTGAAATTAGGAGCTCAAAGAAATACTAGCATTCCAGTGTTCTTTGCAGCACTATTCGTGGTAGCCAAGATGTGAAAGCCTACATGTTGACAGATGACTGGATAAAGAAACTATATGTACACATCGAGACTATTTGTCCTTAAAAATTTACCATATTTGACAACGTGGTTAAACCTTGAGGATGTTATACTTAGGCCAGTCGCAAAATTAATACAAATCTCTACTTTTATTTAAGATAGTCAAGTGGTATTTTTTTTTCCCTGTTTGAGTTACAGGCATAAGTCAAGTGGTATTTAAAATAGTCAAATTCATAGTCAGAATGTAGAATTAGGGATTAATGGATTAAGAAGAGAAAATGGGCAATTTGTAAGCAAGGGTATAATGTTTCAGTCAAGCAAGATGAAGATCTGTACAACATTTTGAGGTAGTGTATGCTTATTAGAGTAGATCTCAATTTTTTTTTGCTGCAGCAAAAGAAATTTCATTGAGGATATGGCATCAGAGTTGAGCCTGCAAAGGTGGTAGCATTTATCTAATCAGAGATAACATTAAGCATCAAAACGAGGGTACCCAGGCATGATGGCACATTTTATAATCCTAGCTTTTTAGGAGAGAGTGAGGCAGGAGGAGGACAAGTTGGAGCAGTTTAGTGAGACAGTTTTGAAACGAAAAGGGCAAGTGATATAGTTCATTGTTCTCTGGGTTCAGTCCCAGTACCACAGAGAGGATGGTAGGGGTTAAGTATTAATTAAGACAAAGTATTGGCATAGAGCTTGTTTGAAAAATACTATGCAGTGTACGATATTTGTAGTTTAAAATTGAGAAAGGTAAATATAGAAAAATAGCATGAGGGGTCTTGAAATAAAGACAGACATACTGAAATTTACTTGCTAAGCTGTGGAAAACCATTAAATATTTTGGAACTGAGTTGACACAGCTGTCATCTGGCATGTCTGACCTGTTACAAGTTAGTTCATGTTATTGAGTAATGATTCTTACTGTTGTATAAGAGCCTTTTGGAGTCATTTATAAGAAAATGGATGCAAAGCTTGAGACCATAATGCTAACTGGAGTAGATCAGATACAAACCTGTATACCACATGGTTTCTTATACATGAGAAACCCAAAATACAAATAAAGAGCAAAATAAAAGATAATAGAAAGTAGGTAATAGACTTTTCAGATGGAAAAGGAATCAAGAGATAAGGAAAATAAAAAGAGAAATTAGAATGTGTTACCCACATAAACCAGTTGCATAAGGAATGTGATCATTTTGGACTGTAAAAAATCTTAAAGTCTTCTAGTTGTGCTAGAATGTAGTTGTAATACTAACTTTGTTAGTAATGAAAATTTTCTCAGGAAATTTAAAAAGTGACAGGCAATCAAATTTTAAGCAATTTTCTGTACTATTTTTTTCTCTTTATTATGTATTATAAGGTTTGAGTTAATGTGAATCCATGCTAATACACATTTTCTTTACAGGTGTTAGTAAAATGGCCTTTCGTCATTTAATTGAGTTCACATATACAGCAAAATTAATGATACAAGGAGAGGAAGAAGCCAATGATGTATGGAAAGCAGCAGAGTTTCTACAAATGCTAGAAGCTATCAAAGCCCTCGAAGTCAGGTAATTATTTCTTCAATGAGGTGTAGATAGTCATGTCAGACATAATTTGCTTGTTGGTCAATAACTTAGAAACCTGAGCGTGGTGGTACATGCCATGCCTATAATCTAGCACTCGAGCAGGCTGTTAGGAGGAGTAATAAGCATGACCTCAGCCTAAAAGGTGTAACAACTTAGTGAGAGATTGTCTTAAAATAAAAAGGACTAACTGAAATATAGTTCAGCAGCATAAGCACCTGCCTGACAAACACAAGGTCCTGAGTTTGATTCCTGGTGTCAAAAATAAAAAGGAATGGGTACACAGCTCAGTGTGAAGACCCTAGGTTCAGTCACCAGTACCAGAAAAGAAAACAAAGCAATTACAATATGCCATGCCTCTAGAGAAGTACATTTTAAAATTAAGGGTATTTAAGCATGTTTCAAATTTTTCCAGATGCTGATGGTTTTTTTTTTTTTTTAACTTGTATTTGATTTCCTGTCCTTGTGGAAAAAATCTGTGCTAAAATGAAAAAGCACCTTTGATTGAATTTAAATTGTAAATTATTTGAATCAAGTCTTATTCTACAAAAGTTTGTCTTTAAAGGTTCAGATAGTACTGTTTGAGGATATTGGTAAGCAGGCCAGGTGGGGATGTAAGGCAATGAGTCAAATTAGAAATACTATAATACAAAAACATTCAATATATACTTGCTTATTGGGTTACATCCAGCCCTGAGTTTTGAAGCACTAGCACAAAGAAAAAAATTTCAGTTACATTATTCATAGTTATAGGATGAGAACAAACTAACTTGCTAATGAACCATTCCTGGTATTAAATCATAGTATTTCTACTAGCTGGTATGAAGAAAGCATTAAAGAATGTAATAACCAAGGATCTGAACATAGAGCAGTATAAAATAATACAGTGACCTAAAACAAGTTCTAAGAGTCATTTTCCCTGGATTAATTTCCTAGCTGTACCACTAGGTGACCATAATAAAATTGTTCAAGCTTCTGTCTGCTCAGTGGCCTGATTTGTCAAATGGGAGATAGTAATGGTATTTTCTATATAGAATTACATTTGTGAGGTTAAATGACTTAGTTAATGTCACATGCCTAGCATGACATCTGGCAAATAGTACTCTAAATGTGTGAACTATTACTATTATCACCTGGTACTTTTTTAATGATGACCTTCAAGATAGGTCTTTGGCATGAAACCAGGCCACAGTTAGGCAAAGTTTGTTTCATGAAGGAACAAATTGATTTAATTCAATAATCCAGCAGGAAATTTTAGACTTTCTCTGAAGAAGTAAACTGTAATTGTCCAAAAATACCATTTATTTTCATTAGTTTGGTAGCTCAAGACCAAGCTTTCTGAAAAGAGCTTGATGTGTTGTATTTTCTGATTGATGTTTGCCCCTAGCAAACAGGTATTTAGCAAAACATTTGTGACTAGATGGATGCAAGTATGCCGGTCAGAATCAGACTAGTACTCTTCCTGCAGAGAGTGCTATATTAATATGAGTACCAGAATATAAGTATGTGTTGAAGATGTATAGTATACCTGGTTAGGTCATCTGTTCTCAGAATGGAAGTAGGCAAAGGGAATGCATATGGAAAGAACAATATCAGATTTGTGGTTAAATCTTCGATAGTCTTCTGAAAAAAGGTTTGTGTGACCTCTTTGCTGTCTATGGCTATGAGTAGTACCTCACTGGGGAAAAAGTTCTTGGCTACAGAACAGCAGAACATTCTAGAACAGTGGTCTATTTAGGAGACATTTAATGGAGTTCATACATAGTCATTGAGAGGTGAAAGTAGGAATGATTGGGGTATCATTGTACAGTATTTAGAACCTTCTACAGGTGTTGTAACACTGGGATTCTCATAATAATTACAATCATTTCTGCCTTTCAATATACAGTAATATGTATCATTTGTTGAACCAGATAGGCATGCAGGGTACTCTGACATGTACCTTTAAAAACAGAAGATAGTGGTTGTTGCATAGTAACATTGAAATACTCTGCAGTGTCTGGGCTTCTATAAGAGTCTGGGTCCCCTCCCCCCCATATGTGAGCTAAAACTCAATATTAATTGTTTTTGGTTGCAAATTTGATATTTTGAATAAAGCTTCAGTACTATTTATGTCTGTTTTATCCCCACACAGTTTGTTATTATTGTTTGACTTTCTTGGACAAATCTGTAAAGTCTTTGTTCTTCATATGGGATTTAAGATCTGCTAAGTAAACTTCCTGATCAGCTAATGAGTGAACAGAGATTTCCTGAAATGCCTTGAACCATCACTCTCCACATAACGAGGCGCTGAGCTGTCTATATTGGGGTACACCACCAGCGTTCCCTCATCTGGTTTACAGTTCTGCCTTAGCATTTACTTTCTTATTGCAGAGAAACTCGAGGTCATAGAGAAATGAGGCCTTTGACTCTTTCTGGGCAAAGACTCTCTTGGGCAAGCATATAGCCCTGTGCATGTGTGGCCTCCTAGATTCCGTGAAATATGTCAGTATTTCTGAAGGCCTCCTGTGGTCATTTCATTTCTCAGTTGTTTCTTAAGAAATGAAAATTTCTGGTCATCTCGATAGCCACAATTGGTAATGCTACCTCAGTGGCTGCAATAAAGAACAATCACTGTTTTCTGTTTTTTGGTTTTTCAAGACAGGGTCTCACTATGCAGTTCAGCCTGGCCTTGGGCACATTTTGTAGCCCAGGCTGGTCTTGAACTCAAAAGATCCTCCTGCCTCAGCCTCCTGGGTGCTGGGATTACAGGCATGAGCCACCGCCCTCGGCTGTTTTGCTTTTTATTAACAAGTTCCTTGTAATTAAGACTATTGGAAGAATGAATCCTAAGTCATATAGCGTTCCCTAGGTTTTCTTTGGGGACAGGGGGGTTTACTAGGAATAGAACTCAGGACCTCAGGCTTGCCAGGAAGGTGCTGTGCCACTGAGCTAAATCCATGGCCCCTTTCCTATATTTTTTTTAATCTGTGCTAGATTGATCTTTTCAATTACTGTATGTAAAGTACTTAAAACAGTATCTACCACATATTAAGTCTGTTTTTTGCTTGTAATACCCTCTCCCTACTTTGTTCACTGACAAATCTTACTCATTTTTCTTGTCTCAGTTCAGAGTCCACTCTAAAGCCTTGTACGATTGCTCCGAGCAGATTGACTTAGGTTCTTCTCTATTTTTTATGCTTTCCATTCAAGTAATAATTACCTAATATTCCTACATTTTCCCATTAGACCTCAGCCTTACTGATGCAAGACATTCTGTATTTTTTCATCTTTGGAAGCCATTTAGATGAGTTTGAAAAATTTCCTCTGAAACCTCTTGCTCAGAATATAAACTGCATCTCACTTTGCAAAACAAAGCCTGTTAGTAGCATTTTTTTGTTCTTAATTCCTGTTTGGAGCAGGGATTTGGGTTCGCCAGGTCATAGGCAAGCAGAAGGCTAGTTAACAACTACCTTACAATTTTCCTCCACAATTGAAAAATGAGCCATACTTTTTTATTATGATAAAGATCACATTTCTTTTGATGTCTTTAAAATAGGGATACCTCTTTAAAGTGAGTGGTCAATCCTCAAAACTTAGTTTCATTTAAATTGTTTTGCAGTTACTTATAGCAATTGAGATTGTTAACTTGAAATATCTTCCAAATGATTACACTGAGTCGATGTTAAAGCAAAGTTATTATGCAATTCTAGCAATGGAAAGGGAGCCATTTTACATTGATAGAACAAATACTTGTCTTCAGAAGAATGAGTACAAAATCAGTAACTGAGGGTTTTATATGTCCTTCAGAAGGAAGACAAATATAACTGGCTGTCCCTAACATTGCAAAAAAACAAAAAAAGATTTAACAGGCTAGTCAGTTGAGAAATGAAAATTTATTATTTGTGGTTAAATTGACTAAAACTGGTAAGAAGATTCTTGTATAACTTTTGCTCATATAGAAGGTGCATAAGGTGTTCTGCATTTGCAGTATAGAATTATTTTTAAAATACAGTGTAAATTTTTTGAGCAGCACTACAAAACACACAATAGGTCCTTATTTTGCTTTGATGAAATTACATCATTGCTTATATAGAACTCAGTGGCTTGTTCATGGTAGAAAACAGCAGATACTATGTAGATTTTTTTTCTTTAGCTTCTTAGAACTTAATTTCATGTAACTTCCACTTTAATTCTAGAATTTACATTTTGATAATTACATGTCTGTATCGGTGTAACCACCTCTACAATTAAGATATAGAAGAATTTCCGTCACTCTAGAAGGTTTTTTGATGACTCTTTGTGGTTGATTCTGATCTTCTGCCCTGGGTAATCATCAGTTTAATTTTTGGTTTAGATTGGTTTGGTTTTTTGAATAGCATTTTGCAGTATAGTTTAGGCTGACTTTGAATTCATTGTATATAGCCCAAGCTGGCCTTAAACTCTACAATCCCCCTGCATCAGCCTGCCAAGTGCTAGGATTACACGTATATGCCACCACACTCAGTTTAATTTTTAATCATTGTAGTTGTATTTTATGCCTTGGATTTGCAGTGCTGGGTGTGGTGGAGCAGCTTGAGCTCAGGGCCTCAACCTTGGTAGGTAAACACTCTACCACTGAGCTACCCCTCCAAGCCTAGTTTTACCTTACACACAATGTCATATAAATGGACTCTCACAGTGTGTAGGCTTTCACATTTGACTTTTTTCTCTTAACATTTTGTTTTAGAAATTTGTCTGTGATGTTGTGTTCTTTTGTTCCTTTTTATTACTGGGTAGTATTCCACACCATGGGTATATATAATTTTTGTTTTTCTGATATTTGTTCGTTTTTCAGTTTTTGACTATTAGAAAAAGGTTGCTATACACAAGCCTTTGGACCTATAACTTCATTTCTCTTAGTAAATATCTTAGTTACTTTTCTCCCGTTGCTGAGACAAAATACCCAAGGTTAAAGGAGAAAAGATTTATTTAGCTCACAGTTTGTAAAAGTTGCAGTACATAGCTGACTTCCAAGGCAGGGTAGCACATAGCTCTTACTCAAAGCCTTTCTTTTGGAATAATCAAGGGCATTTTTACAAACTTACAGACCTGTTATGTTTTCCACCTTTACTCACATGGGCCATTATAAGTGTATTTGCAAGCATTGTATTTAATCAAGTAGGCAGTATTCTTAAAATATAAGGTGAAATCAGTTCAGTAAGGAAATCCAGGTGACTAAAACAATTAAATTGAATTTTTTTAAGCCCTGTTTTGGACAGGCAAGAGGTACCAACCAGATTGTCACAGCATTGCTCTTGGGGAAGAGAAAACAGTTGTGTTCAAAATTTACTAGTTACGTTTGTATAAGTTTCCCACTCATTTTGTCTTCATTACCTAGGAAGCAGCTGAGAAGAAATGATTTCTTTCATGGGTTGTTGCCAGTGGTATAGCTGTCTGTTCTGGTGACAACTAAATTTGATAACCAAACTGCCTTACTTTCTTGGACAAGAAGAAGGTGAGGGAAGTAGAGTCAGAAACCTTTGAGTCATTGTCTGGGGTCATTGTAGTGTTCTACAACATCAGTGTTGGTGGTAGGAGAGCATGAAAGATCTGTCAATGTCTTGACTGCTAGTTATTAGTCCATTGTCAAGTAGCATTTATGATAAAAACCACACCATTTTTGGACTACAGATGGTTTAGAGAACTGAACATAGTGCCAAGATTAGTTTGAAGGGCTGTGGTTTTACAGCCTAAACTAGCTAATCAGACTGGAATAGCAACAGTATAACCTGAAAAAGTGTTGTCAACAGTGGTGACCTGATACTCCTAGGATGAGGTTGAAGGTCTGATATAAGCAGAGGTGTGGCAATACATCCAGAGCAATCTTTCATTTGGTGTTGTGTGTTATCACATCTGGAATTAGGTTGGATTTAGGTATTCATGAGACAATCTTAGATAGTGCAGGCTTGATGGCAGCTTGATTTATCTTATTAGGAAACAGTCCTTTATATGAGCATCTAAGTAAGTGATCGAGCCAGTGCCAGTAGCAGCTGTTACTTTTTTACAGAGTTGGAGCCGTGGACATGAGTATCTTTAATATACCTACACTTACAAGTTAGTAGAACAGAAAACTAGACTATATTGGCAACAACTCCTGAGTCAATAAATATGTAGCAAGGTTAAGCATGGGAGATGTAGCCTACAGCTGTGAGGACAGCCTTGATTCGTGCCCACTGAGTAGATCCATTGGGTCCACTTTGTTTGTTTTAGTTTGTTGAGGTTGTACACTTGGAGCAGCCCCTTGAACACTATCCTGTTTCAACTTAGCCTAACAGTGAATCATGGATCCCATTAATTTAGTGCCTTTGCTTTGGGCAACAGAGCAAGAGAGCCACCACTTTTTCATATACTGCTTTCTTAGATATGCCGTTTCTGTTTGACAAATGGTGCAACAGGACATCATCAGTGTAATTTTCACCTTTATTAGTCGTGAAGTCTGAGCATGGCTTTTCATGCTCTCTACCATCTACTAATACTGATACTGTAAAACACTGTGAATATCAGACTGGAAAACCTTCAGACCTCCATGAGTTGAGTATCAGCTTAACAAGTATCCAACTGCAAGTAGATTTTTGTTTGTTTTCTCTAGAGGGAATGTACTTTGAAATTGTGTTTGAAGTCAAATCCAAAGCCCAAAGAATTACTTTTGGTTAAAAGCTGCTTTCACTTGCCTGACGCTCTACTGCAGAAGCATCAGTTTCAAAGACTGGCAGCTTCAGGGTTGGCCAGAAAAGTAGAGAATATGCTCCCATTTGATGGACAAGTTCCATCACAGTCTGTTGGTTGGAGCCCCCCCTTAAGAATGCTGGTTTAGCTGGATGTGGTGGTGCACTCCTATAATACCAGAACTTGAGAGGCTGACACAGAATGATCACTGTGAGTTTGATGCCAACCTGAGTTCCATAGTGAAATTCTGTCTCAAAAAGAACAGCTGAATGTTAGTTTATAGATTTGCTGATGTAAAGGAGAAGCAGAATGCCCAAGTGAGATACATACTGTCTATAGTATCCAAAAAGTCCAACAGGGTGTTGGGCCTCATTTTTGGTGGAAAGAGAGGGAAAGAAAAGTTTTTTCTTAACTGGTGGAAGGATTGAACATTGTGAAGCTGTCTACATAGATTAAAAAAAAGTCTTTACTTCATCCACTGTCAGGAAGTCCTCTCTTTTGTCTCTACGTGTAGCTGATCCCATTTTTGGGTGATCCTCTCTGGTTCTCAAGTGATAAAGAAGTATATGCACATTTCTTACTGATGTTCAGACAGCAAATCAACAACCTGTAGGATTGACCCTATCCTCAAGGTCAGGGTGGCGGCCTATCCTTCTTCAAACCATACCCACACATCATCAATTAAATACAAGTGCCTCCTCTCTCCACAGAATCAGTTAGGATGATGAGTTGGGCATCAGAATATAACAGAGCCATGCAAGTTTCATTCTGTCACATTCCCCGTACCCCGGCACTCATCTAAGTGATTAGTATGAATTGATTTTACTTGTGGGACCAGGAAGACTTTGGCTCTACCCCCAACTTTCATTCTTAAATCAACTAGAATTGAGGTAGAGGGAGAAGGCGTGGGGAGGGGGGAGTGATAGAGGAGGAAATGTAGAAATGTGTGAAGTAAACAAGATACAGTTTCTTTCCATTCCAAGCAACACAGACCCATACGTAACAAGTGCTCCACTAAACTAACTTCCATTGGTTTCAGCCCTTCCAAAAACTAGTCAACACCAAGGTATTCACAGCTGACGCTATCATTTTCAGCTTTGGGGACTCCCCAGTTCAGTCATCTGCTTCATATCGCTTTCCAGCTGGGGCCTCAAAGTCTATACCTTTAGCTTGAGTTAGATATTATTTGCATAGCAGTTACTTTTTTAGAGTACCAATTAATCCTGAGTATTCAGTGTCCTGCTTTCATGATATCACTTCTTAAGCTTTTGTCTAGTTTTCATGTAAAGGTTGGGAATAGGGAAGATCAGCAGATTTATCACTGAGATTTTCTCATCTTGTGGAAATTTGGGTGTTCTGACATTTAAGTCTGACCCATTTTGAATTAATGTTTTATTCATGGTGTACAAGGATTGAGGTTTTATTCATGGTGATACAAGGATTGAGGTTTTATTTTTCCCATACAGGTACCAAATTTTCTAACATGTCTGTTAAAGATTGTCTTTATTTTCATTAATTACTTTGGAATCTTCTTTGCAAAGCTATGTGTGGGACTGGTTCTGGATTTACTCTATATCTAGTCTCCATATCTATGTTTTCACCAATATCATGTTAGTTGCTCTAGCTTTATGTAAATTTTATCAGTTTCTTCAAAAGAGCCTCATGAGATTTTTGATCTTACAAGTTTTTAATGTCTATACATTATATATTTCAGAAACAAGGAAAACTCCGCTCCTTTAGAGGAAAATACCACAGGAAAAAATGAGTCAAAAAAAAGAAAGATTGCAGAAACTTCGAATGTTATCACTGAGTCATTGCCATCTGCAGAATCAGAACCTGTGGAAATTGAGGTGGAGATTGCTGAAGGTACAATTGAAGTGGAAGATGAAGGCATGGAAACATTAGAGGAAGTAGTTTCTACCAAGCAGTCCATAAAGTACATTCAGAGCACAGGTTCTTCTGACGATTCTGCTCTGGCGTTGTTGGCAGATATTACCAGCAAATACCGTCAAGGTGATAGAAAAGGGCAGATTAAAGATGAAGATGGCTGTGCATCTGACCCCATAAACAAACAGGTAGAAGATATTGAAATTGTGGAACTTCAGCTGTCACATGTGAAGGACTTGTTCCATTGTGAGAAATGTAACCGTTCATTTAAATTGTTTTACCATTTTAAGGAACACATGAAATCACACTCCACTGAGAGTTTCAAGTGTGAGATATGCAATAAAAGGTATCTTCGGGAGAGTGCATGGAAACAACACCTAAATTGTTACCACCTTGAAGAAGGTGGGGTCAGTAAGAAGCAAAGAACTGGGAAAAAAATTCACATATGTCAGTATTGTGAGAAACAGTTTGATCACTTTGGACATTTTAAAGAGCATCTTCGAAAACATACAGGTAATTAGGAAGTACTTTATGTTTAAAGTATATTTTTTTCACACTCATTTAAGTCTATATGTAAATCTTGTTTTTTTTAATGGTACCACTTTGTTGATGTATTGATACTTTGAATGCAAATTAGTATCAACTTTGAAAGTGATTGTCATGTTCATGCCTTGCCAGTTGAAAAAGACAGTTTTAAGTTAAGGATCATAAATTATTAAATCTTAACAGGGGAACTTCACTGTTCCGATTTTTACATTTTTCATGTTAGTATGTTGCCTATGTAAGTACATTTACAAGCAAGCTCTGACACGTTTATACTTTGTATACATTTAGTATCCATTCTGGCCCTTTAGGCATTATGTGTCTTGTCTCCTTTTACATCTCAAAATGACAAAATGTCAGGACTGGTAAACCACCAGGGAGCTGTAGCAGAGTCTTTATACCCTGTTCCTTGTAGGAGCCACACAGTGCCCGAAAGGAAGTTTACCTCAGGCCTCTGGCTGTCACAGTTCTGAATTCCCTGTATGTATATATATTTTTCCCTCTCTGGCTTTGCTCCCACTTGCCAAGCGTTCCTTGCTACGTTCTCCAGGGCCAACCATGGGACCTACCACCTCTTGAATCTTGGGTCGGTTCTATACCTACTGCAATAACTAGGATATGGAAAGAGCAGTTACTACCAGGTGCCAAGAATTAAGATTAGACACTGGTTCCTAGATTCTTGTTACACATAGTAAGGCTGTCTGTACTCTTGGTATGGTAAGTTCAGCTATTTAGAACCTTTCTCTTTGATGCTAGAGTTCATTTTCTTACAGATCTCTCATTGTCCAGAGTCACTTGTATACTAGTTGAAATCGAGGAACCAGGTAGATTCAAATAATGATATCCCTTGCCATCCAAAGTCTTGCTCTCAGTCCTTGGGAACTAAATACCAAGGGAATGTTGTACATTCTTAAGGCTCCATATTGATTTAAAATGATTTAAAGTACTAATTTGGGTAACTAATAGACAAATTCCTTGGATAATCCTCATTTCAAACATGTGTTTATGTTTGGCAATTATATTTTGGGTTCTTAAAAAATCATTTGTGTTGGTGAATATATTTTGTGACAGATGGCATAATTTTATAAAAGAATTACTGTATCACCAGCATGATAAACAAGGATCAGTAGATAACCAGTGAACTTTCCTAGGAGTTTCTAGTACCCCAACAGATGATCAGTTAGCTTTTCTGGCACTTCCTAGAAATGTGAAAGTAGTTCTATCCAAAACATGACCCTAGTGATTTAACTTATTTGAAAACTAGATAACACAGATCATTTTGAAAATTGGAAACATGTTACTGATGGCCTGTGCTTTTCATTTTGGATTGAACAAGGCTGAAGTGCACAACACATTTCAAAATAGTGGTAAAATAAGTAACTTAATATGATTAGTTATTTATAGAACCAAGCTGGGCATTGGTGGCACACACTTGTAATCTAGCACTTGGGAGGCTGAGGCATGAGGATTGTTGCAAGTCTGAGACCAGCCTGGGCTACAGAGTGAACTCAAGGCCAGCCTGAACTCTATAACGAGCCCTTGTCTCAAAAAGACAAAAAATAAAAAAATAAATTATAGCACCATATGTCCACTGTAATATCTATTCAACACATAAACTGAACTTTGTCATATATTCAGTTACTGTGCTAGTAATTGGTGACAAGATAGTTGCAGATATTTGTAATCATTGGCTTCCTGAATTCAGAGGAACATAAATTGGTGGTTTCCAGTTTGTGTGTAAGTTAATAAAGGATGGTCTTTTTCTTTTTCTTTTTTTCTTTTTGAGACAGGGTCTCATTATGCAGTTCAGGCTGGTCTTGGGCTCACTTTGTAGCCCAGGCTGGTCTTGAACGATCCTCCTGCCTTAGCCTCCCAACTGCTGGGATTACAGGAGTGCTCCCCCACACTGGACTCAAAATGATGGATTTTTTTTTTTTCTTCTTAAAATAGAGTGTGAAGATAGGAGACAGTTATGTCCCTATCTGCAAAACTCATAATACATTTTCTTAGTTTGCATATTTTAATAGGTTAATGATTTGATTGCTTACATTTTCTTAAAGAGTATTCTGTAGCTTAATTTGCAGAGCTATACCTATTACCTATCCTGATTTTATTTTGTTTCCATTTGTTGAATAATGATGATAGTACTGTCTTTATAGGCCAACAATAGAAAGTTTTAGAGTCCCTGCCTCATGGAACCCACTTGTATTGGAGTAGGTAGACATGCAGACACACTCAGTGTGACAGGCTTAGTGCTAATAGAGGCAAAGAGAATCTTGTGTGAGTGCTTGTGAAGATGGAAAAGACAAACACCTTCCTAAGGGGTTTACCCTGTGACTTTCATAGGAAAAGAAGGCTAAAAACAGGCATGACAAGCAAAGGAAATAAAACAAACCTAGAGGAATGAGTGAAAGCAAGTTGTTTGGAGCACTGGTAGTAGTGCATAAGGCTGAAGATTGGGGTTCAAGCAGAGCACTGATGATGGACCTTTTAGTGCTTTCAGTGATAACAAACAGCTGCTGGGGCATTTGTGCTCTAGGTTCACTACCACTGAAGTAGAGTAATGCTAGGAGATGTGGTTGAAGAAATTAAAAGGACTGACCAGGTTGTATGCATCAGCTTAAGTCATCAAATGGGGGATCTACAGGTGGCTTAAGGACAAAAGAGAAAGGCAAGTGATGAGAGATGAGGCTAAGATCATGTAGCGCTTTTCATGTGGTAAATGAATTTGGGTTTTGTCTTTGAATATGCCAGATCATTTTAAAGGAGTTATGTTGGGTTTAATAGTACTTCTACCTTAGACAGCTAGCAACATAGAGTGAGGTAAAACCTGCTAGTTCTAATGAGGGATCTGTTCAGGTAAACTAAACCAAAATAAGAACTTGGATAAAGGCAGCAATAGTGAAAAAAAAGATAGAGATTTGAGTAGTGTTAAGTAGACATAATCCACAGGATTTGGCGATCTGTGAGGAGTAGGATAAAACAGAAGGTGACTTAGTTTTCTGGTTTAGATAACTATCTGATTGGAGATTATTAGCTAAAAAAAAAACATAGAAGGGGGTGTAAGTTTAGGCATGAAGGAAAGTATCAGACTCATTGGCACCTAAACTTGAGTGACACCTAGTATAGAGAACAACCTAGAAGTGATATTTAACTATGTTTTTAAATACTATAGTCACTCCCTTGTTTCCAAGAGAAGTGTAGAATTAGAGGAAATGTGGATCTAAGCTGGGCTTGATGCCACATTCTTTGTAATCCCAGCTACTCAGGAGGCCAAGGCAGGAGTCTTGCAAGTTTGAGGCCAGCCTGGGCAACTTAATAAAACCACATCTTAAAGAAAATAGAAAGGACTGGAGGTATATAGCTCACTAGTAGAGCAAGGCCCTGGTTTCAAGTCTGTACCAAAAAAGTGGATGCAGGAATCATTTCAGTTATAGCTTGAGTTGTGGCATTTACCAGCATGTACCTGGTCACTTTCTTTGCTTTCTTTAATATATAAACAAAGATAATGATTCTGTATAGGGTTTATAACAAATAATAAAATGGTGAAAAACACTTTGAAAATTGTAACTCTACACATCTAAAATAGAATAATCTACTTCTGGATTTTACTGGGCTTATTAAACTAAAATTTTAGGGGCTGGGGATTTAGCTCAGCGGCATAAGCGCCTGCCTTGCAAGCAGGCAGTCGTGAGTTCGATCCCTGGTACCGATAAAAAAAAACGAAAAAGACAAAAAAAAAAAAAAAAGTTTCACTTTAAACTAAAATTTTTAATACAGAAGCAGCTAAAGTGGTATTTTATGAAAAATAAGTCTTTTCTGCCTAAGTACAGCTCTTCAGAAGCATCTACTGGGTGGAGTTGTAAGTCAGTGGTAGAACGTATGTATAGGCTTGCAGTAGGCCTTGGGTTCCATCTCTAGCACCACAAGGAAAAAAAAAGATACACAGTGTGGTGGTACAATCTGTAATCCCAGCACTCTGGGAAGCTGAGTCAGGTCATAAATCCAAGCCCAGTCTGGGTAACTAAGCAAACTTAGTGACACCCTGTCTCAAAATTTTAAAAGCACTTTGGGATGTAGGTCAGTGCAAAGTCCCCAGATTCATCCCGTACCACCACCACCCCCCCAAAAAAAAAGAAGAAAAAACAATTACTACAGTTGTTTTCTTATCTTTCTATGTATATTCCCTACATTTTTAAGTAGTCAGCAGACAAACGTGCATACATGGTTTGGGGAGAAAAACCAGGAACATAGGGTAGTAGTATGGTTTTACGCCATTTAATTTGTTTTGGAGTCTTTTTTATTTTTTTTAATGAAACATCTTTTTTTTTTCCCACAGCTGTATAATATTTTAGTGTATTGGATATACCATAGTCAACTACTGTTAATAGACATTCAGGTTTCACTAGGTTTATACTGTTATAAACTATGCTGCAGTAAGTATCCTTGCATACCTACTTTGTCTACATGCTCAAGTAATTTAATTTTTATTTTTTTTCTTCAAGTAAATGTGAGTAGAAGTAATTTAATTTTTAAGAGCAAAATTGCTAGATCAGAGGATATGAGTATTTTCAATCTTGACAAACACTGTCAAATTGCCCTAGGAAGCTAGGCCAGTTTACCTTTGTAGACTACATTGATAATAAAAATAATTTTAGAATTATGTACTAATGAAGCCCCAAAACCTAATCATTTTACGTAGCAAGTTGGCACTGTATCCCAGCAATTTTTGAGATGGAACAGGGTGTTTGATACTTATGCCAGGGTCACAATATAGATCTCAGTATATATAGTGCCTCTGGCCTGGTACTCTGTGTAGCCCAGGCTGGACTCAAGCTTGCAAATGTTGTAGAGTGCTGGGCTTATAGGCATGCACCACCACACCGGCTGAAAAGGAATTTCTGTACTAGCGGTCATTCCAGGTAGTTAGGTAGTCTCCCTCAAAGTAATTTTTTCACCACATGGGAATTATACAAAAGCTATGTATGTTAGGGAAAAAAAATACATAGCCCAGTTACTTGTGTCATTCTTTAAGCGCAAGGGTCACATCTGGGACCTCCTCATACCTGGGCGCCACCTCTGAAAGCTTAGTGTTCCTTACAGGCATCCTATTCCGAATGCTCCCTTTGACTGTTCTTTTCATTTGTCTCATTAAGTCCTCCAGCTCTTCTATATCTTTTTTTCCTAGTTAGTTGCCCTATTTCTGACACTTCTTTTTCTTGGACTTCATGTATACCTTTTCTTTTGTACTCTAACCACATTTTCTTGCTAAGACAGATATTGCTTGTTCTTTGAAGCCCTGTATCAGAAAATATTGCAGTTATTTACTCCATCATTGCAGAGCACTTATGAAGAAAATGCATATCTCAGACAATAGGCATTTGGTGTCTGATTTTCTAATTGCTACTCCAGATCTTCACTGTAATATGTAGTCAAGATCCCTGCCTATGATCCACCTTTAGCAGATGACATACATTTCTTCCTACCCGTATAGCTTAACTATAGCAGCATGTCTTTTTATGTTTTATTCCAGAGGAACAGATTACCCATTTCAAGCTTTTGGGTTTTGGTACCAGGGATCAAATTCACAACTGTGTACTTGCAAGGCAGGCACTTATGGTGCCGCTGAGCTAAATCCCCAGCCCCTCAAGGTAGATCTTGATCCTATACCTTGATACCGCTTCCAAGCCCATATCCTGCCTGTCACTCACACTCTTCCTTCTCTCACAGCAAATCAGTGAATGATAGTTTCTACTAGTTTAAAGAACCCTCATATTGACTTGGCCCTTGGCCACATCTACTCTACTCTCCAAGGCCTTGAAAAGAATTGCCATTCTAATTGATGTGCATGTAACACTCTCTTCCCAGATAAGTCTGGCTACTGATTGCACTGTGCCAAGTATGTCACTTACTATTAATTTTCTGGGTTTTTTTTACTCCTTGGAAGTTTAATTTCTATTTTCATTTCTAGTGCTCCTACCTTCTCTTAACTTGATGTTTCACAAGGTTCTAGTCCGATTTTCTTATAACATACTCAAACTAATTTTATCCATGGCTGCATTATATCTTGTACTGAAAATAACCCTACATCTGTGTATCAGATTTGGCTCCGGAATTGTCTGTGCAGTTATCTACCGGGCACTGCCCTGCTCTGAATACCTTGACTTTAACAAAACGAAATCCATAATCTTTCCCAGCATACTGCACTCCAAACCTTGGATTCCTGAATCCTGGTTCTTTATTGACATTTTAAGCCAGAGATCTGGGAATCAATTTATTTCTCCCAGCCTACTACTTTTATGCAGCATGTTTTATACTTCTGTGCCTCTGCGTGTAGTAAACCTTTGTTATCGTTGTTGGTTTGTGTGTGTGTGTGTGCGCGTGCTTTCCTTCTGTCATTGGATTCCAGGTAGAATTGCTCCCTCCTTTTGTGTTGCTATAGCACATTATTTTCTGTGGCTATCTTCTACAACAGAATTCCCATGCATTGAGTTTATTTTCATGTATTTTGCTTTCATACCCTGACCTTTGTTTTTGTTGTTGTTGGATTTTTTGGGGACAGTATCCCTATGTGACTTAGGCTAGTCTTAAGTTTGCAGTGTAGCCTAAACTGTCCTCACACTCACAGTTCTCTTGCCTCAGCCTCCTGGGTACACATATAGAACAGAACTCACAGATCTTAAATATCTTGTTTGGGGGCTTTGTTTGGTTTTGGTTTTGGTTTTTTGCAACTTTCTCACTGTGTACTTCAGGCTGACCTCCAGCTCAGCTGACCTCAAGCTCAGCAATCCTCTTGCTTCAGCCTTCCTCTGAGTGCTAGGATTGCAGGCTTGTTACCACGATGCTTGGCTAAGATCTAAATGCTCTTATCTTCACCAGAATTGATTTACAGTTAACCAGTAAACCATACTGCCATCTTCAGAGAAGTCTTTTGGATATGGTGAGAATAACTAAATTATAAGCGTGTATTTTTTTCTCTTAAGAACATATTAAAAATGCTTGCCTAACATGCACAAAGTTTTGTAATTTCCACTACTACAAAAAAAATTGTTACAAAAAAGAACATTTGCTATATTTCTTGATTTGTCCAATGTCTTATAATAGGTGAAAAACCTTTTGAGTGTCCAAATTGTCATGAACGGTTTGCTAGAAATAGCACTCTGAAATGTCACCTTACTGCTTGCCAAACCGGAGTGGGAGCAAAAAAAGGGAGGAAGAAGCTTTACGAATGTCAGGTATGTATGGAGTGAAGACTGTTATAGTCATTAAGCTTGAAAGGTAACGGTTCCTGACTTAGCATGGTTCAACACAGGACTTTTGCCCTTTACAATAGTACAAAAGTAGTAAACATTCAGTTAGAAACCATGCTTTAAATTGTAACTGAATCGTTTCCTGACTAGTAGTGATAGGTAGCAGGTACTACCTATCATTACTGATGGGCAGCATCAGTGAGCCATGGCTTCTGGTCAGCTGTGCTTTCTTGAGGGTAAACAACTGATACTTTTTTTTTTTCAGGGTACTGTTGTGCTAAATGTAGGTTAGATTCACTAAGTGTAGTTTTGTCTGATGGTGTTTCTGACTTTACCAAGACACAACTCCGTTTAAAGTCAAGAAACACAAAGTACGGAGTCAATGATTTCAAAAGAAATGAAAGTAAAAACATTGTATTAATTTAACAAGGGAGAGGAGAATGATTTTTTGTATTCAACCCTAGATAGCACCAATGTCAATAAAAATTGTGTCCTGAATATTAGGTATTTGAACCTGGTTACTCTTAACTATTAAGCAGTCATTTGAATTTGGGAGCACAGGGAAGACAGACTAACTTCTTCCATGATTATTGTTTTTATACCAAATACTGTAACAGTTCTAAATGTCGAAATTATAGGAGAAAGTACAATTTAGTTACTTTATAATTTAAGATTTTATATGATACCTAAATAATAAGGGCAGTATTGAAATGTTTCCTAGAATGTATTCGGTGAATCAGCTAAAAGATCAAATAAAGCAAAGAAATATGAAATAGTTTGGACCGGATTATGTTGTAGTACTGTATTCAGAATGGTTTTCAACCTAGTATCAGTGTGTTACAGAGAAAAATTGTACTCACATTTCCTTCAGTTTGAATGTTAGCATGTTAACATATATTTGATTATTTCAGGTCTGTAACAGTGTGTTTAATAGTTGGGACCAATTCAAAGATCACTTGGTAATACATACTGGGGATAAACCCAACCATTGCACTCTGTGTGACTTGTGGTTTATGCAAGGAAATGAATTTAGGAGGCATCTGAATGAATCTCACAACATTTCAGAACGTCTGATAACTGAAGAAGTCCTTTCAGTAGAAACACGAGTGCAAACTGAACCAGTGACATCAATGACTATTATAGAACAGGTTGGGAAGGTGCATATGTTACCACTGCTTCAAGTTCAGGTGGATTCGGCACAAGTGACTGTGGAACAAGTCCATCCAGATCTGCTCCAGGATGGCCAAGTACATGATTCACACATGAGTGAGCTTCCAGAGCAGGTCCAAGTGAGCTATCTAGAAGTGGGTCGAATTCAGACTGAAGAAGGCACGGAAGTACATGTCGAGGAGTTGCATGTTGAACGGGTAAATCAGATGCCAGTGGAAGTACAAACTGAGCTTTTGGAAGCAGACTTGGATCACGTGACCCCTGGAATCATGAACCAAGAGGAGAGTGAGCCTAACCAAGCAGATGGTACTGAGACTGCTGGGGAAGATCTGGAAGGTGCTGAGGGTTTAAAGACCAAACCAACAGTGGATTCCCAAGCTGAAAAGACAGAGAGTGAAGACAGAACAGCTATGCCAGTCTTAGAATGAAATAACAAATGAATATATTTTTAAATTTACATGTTGGGTTTTGAACTGAGTAGGGGCAGTGTAACTGTCCTTAAGCTACCAGACACATGGACCAAAGTCAAACTATTTCCTGTTGTGCTAAACTATTTTCTATGGAAACAAACCGATGACCCTCCCCCCAGGTAATACCACAGAGGAGGGATCTTTCTCATAAATGAAGTTTTGAGAAGTATATTTCTGGAAATTTAAATGGATTATATTCTTCTTACATTGTTGGGTACGAATGTATCTTATTTTCATTGTGGTTAGGGTTCTCTCTCTTTTCTCTTCCCTAAGTGATGTCCTTCCTTAAATTTTTTTCCATACTATACAATCATTAGAATACAACCTTATGTATTCTAATGCATGACAAAATTGAATATATAGGAAACACAAGGCTGCATGAAGAAAAGTGCATTGTTACTGTGCAGTTAAGTTTTGGCTCTGGCTTTCTTCAGCTTGAACAACATTCTTGTCTACCCCAGTTAGTCACAGATGCCATCTCTGCACAGAGACAGAGTGGTGGGGGCACAATGTCTAGAATGTTTTTTTAAAAATTCACACCCATGTGCCTTTCAAAAGCAACTAAACTTCTATAAAGCATCTCTGGTTCTTTCTAGGTTTGTGTTGGAAAGAACAGTGTAAAGGATGCTATAAGTACTTCATATTTTTGCTTATAATGATAACCACCAGTTCTTTTTCATTTAAGTTAGTTTGAAAAATTTTATTTAACGGCAGCTGAAGGGCCATTTTTCGATTGGGAAAAATTTATTTACATCTGTGGTAAACTTTATTTTGAAGAAAAGTTGCACTAATGTTTTACCACCAGATGAAAAAAAATGTGCATCATTTAAAAATTAATGTATTTAAAATAAAGTACAGAGAAAGACATGTACATAATATATCAGGCTTTGTTTTGAGTCTTCCCCCCCCCCAACCCTTAATGTAAAGATCTTGTGCTATAACTTTTAAAGCCATACAAATAAGAGTGCTAAAACTGTGGATTTAAAAGTAGATGTGTAAATATTTTTAATCAGTATTACTTTGAAAATAAAACATAACCAGATAAAATTAATCAATATGCTATTTTCTTTACCTATTAAATATTGGGAGATGTTTACATTTTTAAAGTAAACTTTAAAACTTTGTGTTCATGACTCTTTAATTATCTGAAAGTTATGAGAGATTTCTTGTATCTTTTTGCATCATGCTATCATTTCCATCTTTTGAGGTATGAAATTCTCAGTATACACCTCCAACCCCTAAAATCATTTCAAAACAAGGAAGAAATCGGTGTTCTTTTCATTTTCAGAGGGTGGGCACAATAGCAATTAGAACTGTTTTAGTTGAACCAATTTATTTAAATGATATTTTCTCCACTTACCAGTGTGTTGAAAAATCAGTTCAGCTAACTTCTAACCTCTTTTTGGTAATCCTGATGTTAATTGGTAGCACATTTATGAACTACATTTAAATGGCTTTACATAATTGGAGTAGTCACAAATTTTGGTATATCAGGAATAAGATGTGCTTTTATTTTACAGTCAAGTGTCTGAATACTTCCAGTTGTGTTGGCAATTAAGCACCTACTGCAAAGCTCATTTCTATTTTTTGTTAGAAAATACTAATAAAATTGAGCCTCATTGAACTTTCATTTTGCCTTAGGATAGCTATGCTACTGAGTTACAATTTTTTTTTAATCACCCTTAGAAGACAGTGATCTCAAATGTGTAAATTGCTAGCTAGTATGTTTGATTTTGAATGCTGAAAATAGCTCATACTCTACCTTTAAGCCAAGGTATGAAACAGGGTTTATTTTTAAACATAATCCTCTTTTTTTTTTAAAAAAACATAATCCTTTCTGAAGAGATGTGACCACAAGGATCAAGAGCAAAGGCACATCAAAAGTCTTTTAAGGCAGTTTTAAGGAGTAGATATTCTCATTTTCCTTTTCCCAAAAGGTATAAATAAGGCTGTCAGTATGCTGTGAATGCCAGTGAATTTGGAAAAGGAGAGGAGATTGACCCACTGATAAGCCACTGGTTTGAATAGCACTGTGTGGTTTGCAAAGCAATGTATGTGTCTATCTATCTATCTATCTATTTATACATATATATCATCATCAACTTTTGTAAATTGTAGGGCCAGGCACTAGCTCAGTACAGAGCCTGCCTGGCAAGTGCAAGGTCCTGGGTTCAGTTCCCAGTACCAAAAAAAAAAAAAAAAATTGTGTATCTCTCTGCTCCAACTACTGAATTGGGTTATTTGTTCATACACTGTTTTCTAACTATCCTTACTGGGGTTTTAAGGTAAGTCTCTACAGTGTGGCAGTTGAGCAGTGGAGTGTGGTGCTTGTCATAGGAAAGTCTGTCTCCCACTCTGGTGTTTGAACAGCAGTTTTCAGAGATCATGTGGCTGCTCAGCACTTCAATTTGAATGCTACCTAGAATTAATAGATTAAGTGCTCAGGACCACAAAACTGTTGCCACTTTAGGCCCAGCCACAAATGACTGCAGATGCTAATGTTCAGCCAACTACAAATTTGGGGTCTCCCATAGCCCCCAAGTTTGATAATGGCCCAATACTAAACAATTATAGTTTTATTAAAGAGGATGTAATTCAAGAATAAACGGATGAGATGTATAAGGTGAGAGTGTACAGTAGGTGGTGGTCAGAGCTTCTATGTTGTCTCTGATTTACTCTCCCTGTATGTTGACTGTTGACCAATTTATAATCTAAGTGGATTAAACTTTATTTTAGTAACTGAAGTCAGTTTCCAGCCCTTTGCTTTCCCCCAGCGATCTCACAGTGGGCCAGATTGATAGTTGTCATCTTGGTTGATTCCTGTGGTAGTATAACCCCTCTTGAAGCTAAGGCCTCTTATCAGTAAATCAGCATAAATTGGTAAGGCCAAAAGGCATTATTATCAGATTTTAGGAATTTGCTCTGAATCAATGACAAAAGGCCAAATATTTTTATTATACCACATTAACCATTCATGCAAAGAAAAACAACTAATAGCAATACATTTCAAAGGCAGAAATCTTGGATAGATTCTAAAACAGAAGGCCCTTACTGATTTTTAAAAGGCTATTATCCTTATACATTACTGAATGTAAAAATATTTTCTTGAAAATTAGCTTCAGTTCTGTGTTCAAGTAGGAATTAGATTTCAGGATTAGGATGGCCCATAAAAGACAGCTAGACTCCATTTTATATGATGAATAAATCAACAAGCTTAGTAGGAAGTAAAATGTGGGTTGATGATTTTAAACAAATGGTTATTAAGGGATTCAACTGAAAATCTGTTTTACAACTGACACCCAAAATGATAAGTATTTGATCCCCAGTACCAATAAAAAACAGACAAAAAAAAGTAAATACTTGAAAGTTTAGCCTGACTGTTGGAGAAAATTGGTAGCTTTGGATTTTTTGTTTGTTTGTTTGTTTGGTCTTTTTCCTTTTTATCGGTACCAGGGATCAAACTCACGACTGCCTGCTTCCAAGGCGGGTGCTCATGTCGCTGAGCTAAATCTCCAGCCCCGGTAGCTTTGGAATTTTAACACTAGGCTTTCCTTAATTATATTTGAAGAGAAAGATGCACTCTGAATCTGTTAGCTCTGAATATTTGTCATAAAGGAAATAAATGAGAATGAGTTAAACTGTCAAAGTCTCACCAACACCAATTTAAAAAGATCTTTTATAGTTGGAGCCTTGGAAATGTTTTGCCTTTTTTTTTTTTTTTTTTTTTTTTTTTTTTTTTTTTTTTTTGTCTTTTTCATTTTTATCGGTATCAGGGATCAAATTCACAACTGCCTGCTTGCAAGGCAGGCATTTATGCCGATGAGCTAAATCCCCAGCCCTGGAAATGTTTTGCTTTAAAACTGTAAGTGCAGAGCCTGCCATCACACTGAGTTTTAAGTTTTCTATCCTATGCTTTATTTCCTTAATCCTTTCTGGCATAGTAAGTAGGAAGGCAGAATGTGAAGTTGATCTTTTTCTCTTTGCCTTTCCTACAACCTAATGTAACATTCAACTGAAGCAATCCCTACCTTGTAATTTCTACCAAATTACTAGCTTTAATAAATGGAGGAAATGCAAGAATGGAGACAGAATCGTGAGTTGAGCCAGTATTTGAACTGAGGGAGCTAGACCCTGCCTCCCCCAGACTATGCTTCTGATCACTAAAATAGTGCCTCTCTGAGCTCTTTTTCATAGAACAGACATCCATGTTCTTTTTGGGGTCCATATTAGCCTTTCACAGGTTTGGGAGTGCAAGGAGAAATAAGGTCCAGAAACCTGGCAAGATACAGCAAGCCATCTTTTACTGTCCCCTTGTCCTGAGGCTGCCACATACACAGCAGCTGCTCTTCTGAGAGTTGTCTTTTGCAGGCTTCCTCACCTTTTTGCCTGTGGTTCTAAATTCTAAAAAGCTGCACTGGGGCTGGGGATTTATCTTAGTGGCATAAGCGCCTGCCTTGCAAGCATGCGGTCGTGAGTTTGATCCCTGGTACTGATTAATTTAAAAAATAAAAGGTGCACCTAGATTGCAATAAAAAATACGAATGTTTCATACAGTAGAAAGTATTGCCATTAATTGCATTCAAAATGCTCCCTCACTTCAAATGCCGTTCTTGGCAATGTGACTTTAATAAGTTTTTTAAATTTAAATATATTTTACAATCTTTAGATTTCAGAACCCAGAGCATCTGAACTGATTAAATGAGAGTGTATAAGATGATGTTGTTTTGCCTAAAGAATAACAGGAACTTATCCTAGCAGATCAAAGTGACTGAACACAGCCAAAGAGAAGACACAGGCCCTGTAAAATAGTACAGGTCTTCCTGCCTCTTCGCCATGGTGCATAGTGAAACCCTGTCTCAAAAATACAAAGGTGCCACACTGGTTGCCATACTTGGCTTTCTGTTCAATTAAAATTTGGAGTATAGTTCCTACTACAGTGAAAACTTAAGCAATTTAAAACCTTATAATGATGCTGGGCGTGGTGAGACACTCCTATAATCCCAGCATTTGAGAGGCTGAGGCAGAAGGATCATTGCTAGTTTGAGACCAGGCTGGGCTACGAAGTGAGCCCAAGGCCAGCCTGAACCACCTAGCGAGACCCTGTGTCAAAAAACTGAAAGGGCTGGGGATGTAGCTCAATGGCATAAGTACCTGCCTGGCAAGTGTGAGGTCATGAGTTTGATCCCCAGTACAAAAAATAAATAAATACAACCTTATAATGAAAATTACTGCGGTCTTTTTTTCTCCTTCCCTCTCTCCTTCCTACCTTCGTGTGTGTGTGTGTGTGTGTGTGTGTGTGTGTGTGTGTGTGTGTGTGTGAGAGAGAGAGAGAGAGAGAGAGAGATGGGATTGAACACAAGGTCTTCACACTAAGCTACATCCCCAACCCTTTTTGTTGTGCTTTGAGAGAGAATTTTTTAAGTTACCTAGACTAGGCTCAAACTCGTACTCTTTCTGCCTCCTTGCTCCAATATTTGGTCAACATGAGATGTATTCTTAAACGATTCCTATAAAGTTAAGGAAAACGAGATTTTGATAAATACTAGTTGCAGATAAATAATTCCATTTAAACTAAATCCGTTGGCCTAGTGCTGAATTAACAAAATGAAAGACCTGAAGCAATTGCCTAGAATGTTGCACAGAAGGTAAAAATCTATAGAACACAAGGCGAGATGAGACGACGCACATGATTGTCCAGCAGGAATTACTGAAAAATAAAACTTGGGGGATTTATCATGCACTAAATGTTTACACACACATATGTCGAAATCCTAACTCCTAATGGTATTAGGAGGTAAGGGCTTTAAGTGATAGTGCAGGAGAGGAGAGCTAATCTAATGAGTAGAATTAATGCCATTATAAGAGATTCCAGCAAATTCTCTTGCTCTGCCCTCTGCCATTTGAAGATTACAGTCTGCAAACTGCTAAGAAGCCCTGACCCACATGAGCACCCTCATTTCAGACTTCCAGAACTGCAGTAAGTAAATATTTGTTGTTTGTAATTCTCAAGCTATGAAAATCTATCACAGCCCAAACTAGGACAGGTCCTTCTCAAAGACATTGAAAATATTTCTGAATTGTTGAAAAGACATGAATTATCAGATTTATGTAGCATTCAGATCCTAGAAAGATAAAAATATCATGACATAAGTTATGCCACTTTGAGTTATAGACTCTATAGCAATGTAGTCTTTATTTTTGCAGTGTCTTTTTTTTTTAACAAAAACCAAACTTTGGTCTGTATGCTTTTCTAAGATTTGTCAAATACTGCTCTTTGAGAAAAGAGGAAGGAATACTAGGGGTTAAGGACTCCCCAGGAATGGGCAAGTTCACATTCAGTACGTATAAAGTGTACCAGGTAATTTAATGACCAGTAAATGAGCAAAATTTTTGTCTTCTTGACTAGCACCATAAACTTGGTAGAGGAAATTTTAACCATCTCTGGGTCCCGAATAATCCTACATTATAATGAAAAGAGCATAAACACATTTTCCATGGGAGATTCTCCTAAGGAATCAATGATTCCAAGATTATTGACCCCAGATTAGGAAAATTACTTACTGTTTACCAGAAACAGGAATCTCATTAATTCTTAGAACTCCCAGATTACATATAAGGAAACAACCTAAAAAATATTTGACATCAAAAGTGTCATACAGATAGTAAAGAACAGCTAGAAATCAAGCTGTAACTATGACTCAGAAGTCCAACTCCTGACCTTGACTTGTCAGGCAGGCACTTCTCACTGAGCTAAATCGTGGGTCCAAAAAGTCCAAACATTTAATCATTGTCACTAGCTTTCAAAGCAAGATCAAGTACATAGGAGAGTCAGGTTTAGAAAAGTAAATTTTAATGAGCTTTCCAATAGTCATTGAACTATTTGCACTATCTTAAAGGCTTTATGATGTCATAAATTGTTTTGGGAAATATTTCTCTGACACTTAATAATTTAAAACATTTCTAAAAAACCATTTCATAGGGGCTGGGGATTTAGCTCAGTGGCATAAGCACCTGCCTTGCAAGCAGGCAGTTGTGAGTTCGATCCCTGGTACCGGAAAAAAAGAAAAAAAAACCATTTTATGTATGTACTATGTATAAAATATATATAATATATATATATTACAAATCTGGGAATTTTTGCTTTCATTTAATACGTGGAAAATATTTCTTCACTACTCAAAACAAGATTTTGTTTGTTTTCTTTTTTGAGGTAGATCAAACTTGATCCTCTTGTCTCTGCCTCTGGAGTAGCTGGGATTAGAGGGATGTGCCAGCATGCCTGGAAAAAAATAAGAATTATGGCTGGCCCGATGGCAGTGGGTTATCAGAACTTATTAACATTAGTGTCACTAAAGTTGGTATACCACCCCCCCCACTGCTAAATTTGACTGGCTTTAAAATAAAAAAATAAAGAAAAAAGAATTTTTAACTTCTGTATTGTTACATTGCAACCCATCTATTGACAAACACCCCTTCTAGGAGAAAAATCAACACTTTTCCCAAGTGAATAGAATTTAGTGCAAAGTCAGTCTTCCATGGTCCCAGGCCTCCAAGGCAGGGAAGGCATGAAGGACAGGTTCTGACTTGAAAGGAGCTGGCTCTGGCTTCATGGATAAAGAGAAATGGGGCTCAGGCAAGTGGAACCTGGCAAATGCAGAAATGACTTAATGCAACTGAAAATTTCCCTTCCTCTAAGTTCATGATGCACAAAGATTCGTGTCAGGCTGGGAGCTTGAATTTGGTTTCTAAGCAATTTTCCTATGAAATTTTATTGAGTATTATATTGTAGAATTCAAGGGAGCTTTCATATTTTTAAATAATAAGCAACATTTTACCCTGTATTTTATTGCCTTAGAAATAGACTAATGCCATATGCTATTTTAAAAGTATTTACTTACTGGTATTGAGCGTTGCACCCAGGACCTTCGCACTGAACTATATCTCCAGTTCCTTTTTTTTAGTTTTTATTTCGATACAAGTTCTTGCTAAATTGTACAGGAGAGATGACAAATTGTGATCCTTCTGCTTTGGCCTCCCAACACGCTGAAATTACAGGAATGTGTCACTATGGCCAGTTAGGTTCTTTTTTTATTCACTTGTTGAGACAAGGTGGTTTAAACTCGCTTCGTAGCCCAGACCTTGAACTCTCAGTGATCTCCTAAATACTGGGATTACAAGTGTGCACCACCAAATCCAGCTAAATAATTATTTTAAAATGAGCATCCTCTTTTCTTTCCCTTATAGACATCCGATTCTTATAGAGTGCCCAGACCCTAAAAATGAGCACTCTCGTAAACCAAAGAAGCCATCATTTTCAGGGGTTTTTTCCTCCTATCAATGGCCAGTGCATGGAGCTGTCCAAGGTTTTGTTCCTTGCTCTGTCTGTTCCTGACCCCTTTAATCACAGAAAGACGCAGCAGAGATGTGAAGTCTAAGTGAGCCAGCACCAAAGTTCTACAGCTGTGGATCATTTAACAAGCCATGTACCCACCCTAGGTCTCAGTTTCTTCGACCACCAAAAGTATTTATTACAGTGCCTGGTAAACAGCAAAGGAAAGCTTTTGGGGTTCCCTAATTTCTACCATGAAAGGATTTTAGACTTATTTTTCTCTTCAGCACTATTGTTCTTGTAAATATTGCCCTGCCAATCACGAACACAGGACTGCACAAGGAGGCAGAAAGACTGATCACAGAGCTTCCATGTAAGGTGTCTAGTCCTGGCGGTGTGAGTCTTAAGTTAACTGACTTCTTTGCACTGTTTAGCCTTCCGTAAAACGAAGGGCTTAAATTTTTGTATTCTGTGAATACCGTGCCCATGTCTACACTTCAATCCAGTGACTTGGTTTCCTTATCTGTAACTGGCAAAATATTTGGCGTCTGCCATGAGGCAGAGGTCACAGCGTTGGGGAGGCAGATTAGGGAGTCATTAAGCGACAGCGCGCGCGCCCAGGCCGACGCGTGCCAGGGAGGCATCCAGCCGGAGACCTCAGCGCGTCCGCCTGCAGGCCGAGGCCCTGCCGGACTCACCCCGAGGAGCTGCCGCCCGCTGCTGGAAACCCGGTCCCGGGAGGATTACGGACCGGCTCGCGGTCCCCCAAGGACAAGGAGAGCGGGCTCAGGAGCTGAGCGGCTCAGCCGAGGGAGGCTCTAAGTCCGGCTGCGCGCCCCGTCCCCGCGCCTTGGCGGCTCCCCTCCCCGCAGGCCCGGCCCCCGCCCCGCGGGCCCGCAAAGGGTGTCCCCGCGCCGCACCCCTCCCGCCCTCCGCCTGCCTCCTGGTCGTCATAGCAACCGGACGGCGGGGTCCGGACCGGCGTCCCCGCGCCCCCGGGCTCCCCCGCCCCCCGGGCCAGCCCCCCGCTCCCGATTGGTCCTTCGGGGACGCTGCGGGGCGCCCGGTTCCCGGCGGCCGCGGAGGGCCGAGGCGGGGTTTGCCCGCGCTGCGTGCGTGGGACCGGCCGCCGCTGACAGCGCGCAGCCTCGGCGCGACCCGACCCGGCGCCCCGACCCGCGCAGCCGGAGGTAAGCGACCCGCGGACCCGGGCCCGCCGGGGGGCGCCCCTCTTCCCGGACCCGAGTCCCGTCCGGGCGACGGGCGGCGGGGAGAGGTTAGCGCTCCCCGGGCGACCCCGACCCTCCACCGCAGGCCGACCTGCGCCGGCCCCCGGCCCGTGTGCGTGTGTGCATCCCGCGTGGGGCGGCCCGGCGGGCGTTGCGTCCCCACGCGTGAGCCGAGGGTACGGCCCGGCGCCCAGCTGCGCACAAGCCGGGCCGGTGCCCGGGCGCCAGCTCAAGGTGCTGGTTGGTCCTGAGAGCCGAGGCCCCGCGTGACCTCCCCACGCGCGGGCCGGGCTGACCTCGGGGAAGGGACATCTCGCCCTCTCCACACCCCACACTACGACGCTCCCCGCAGAAAGACGCTTCCTTTGAAAGACGACAAAGTACATAAATATTAGCAGCTCGCGGACTCGAGATGCCGAGGAAAGGGTCACAATGGAATCTTTAAAAATGCCGATTTCCGTCAGCATCCGCGTGCTGCACACGTCGAGGCAGATGCACAGGTCAAGCCGTAGCCGAAGGAGCTCTCCGCCCCAAGCAGGGCGCCCAGGTGCAGCCTCTGTGTTCTTTTCCTCCTTCCTTCTCCTCCGCTATTCTCTTGCCCTCTCTCTTTTCCCCTTCTCTCTCCAGTTTCGTAGACAAGAGGGCTCTGTTAGACCACCCTCCCCCACTGCCCTCCTCATCCCGTTTCAAAATAAGAGCGAATGAATCACACTCTAAGCTCTCACCCGTGTAATTCAGACCCGTTTGGAAATTAAACAAATTGCGTTTGCGCTGCAGGCCGCGAGAATCTTAAAAGGGAAACAAACAAAACGCGGAGGGGGGTCGCGATGTGTTCGAATTAAGATTTCAAATGAGAATCTTAAACGAATATTTGTTTATGGTAATTTGTTTTTTTTAAAAATGTGTCACACAAGCTTGCATCATCATGATTCACAGAAGTGCTTCAAAAGATGGTTTCTGTTAGTGTTGCAAAAGCCCTTCTAATTTTGGTTGCCATGGTAACTGAAGAAGTCGCCCTGCACAATTGAGAGGATGGCCTAGCTGAAACCAAGAAGCAGTTCTCGAGGGGGGCTTCTTGTGTCCTCTCCTGTCACCATAGTGATAATTAAATTTATAAAAAGATACCTGCATGCAAGCCCAAGGCATGATTTTTTAAAACATTATTTTGTTTTCCAAGTTTGCAATTTGCACAACCGGTCTTTTCTCTCAAATGAGAGGAAACCCTGCCCTCCAGCAAGTCAGATGGCCCAAACAGTCATGCATCCCCAGCTCTTCCCATAGTAAGGGCCCTACCCCTGGACAGTATTGCATGTTCAAGTAAGTCTGGAGTGAAACCAGATCTCCTTCTGCACTTAGCATTTAAATTTGGAACACTGATTAGCTTTCTAATTAGGAGGGGGAGAATGTGGGTGTGAGCTCCTAGGAGAGGCTCTTGGGCCAAAAGCTGAGCTGGGCTCTCCTTGGGCTGGGGTTGGTGTGCTGTTAAATTTGCTTAGAAAAAGCCTCATGGGTTTATTTTTGGCTTGACCACTGTTAAGTGGTAAGCTTGGAAAAACCTACCGTGTTAAGAAAAAATGTGGCTTGGATATTTGGTTTGTGGTATGTGATATTTTTTTCCTAATGATCAAACTACACTTAAAATAAAGGTAGTTTTGTATGAACCCTAAATTTCTCAGTATTAACTACAGATAGCCCTTTATTTCCTTGCTTAGTTTCAGATTTTAGTTAAGAATGCTTAATTTGGGATAGACAGTGCTACTATTTCAAATACTTTCATCAGCAAATGTTGGTGCCTTTTAAGAATCATAATTCTTTACACACCCACAGTTCCTGAACTTTGAATCCTTACACCAATTTTACACATTGGTAACATCATTGGAAAATTTAAAAGCCTCAAGACTTACAGTCTTGGAAGAAAAAAAGCAGACTTTGTTTAGTAAGTTTATGTCTTCACCCATAAATATAGTTCCATTTTGAGAAGCTTAAAATCCAAATATATCTTTAAATAAAATTTCTCTCTTTGAATCTAATCACTGTGTTTCTCTAGAATTAAAGAGCCTTAACTGGCTCGTTTTGTTATTGAAAAGACAGACTGTTAAAAATTGATCTTAGTGAATCTGTATCTTGTCATTTTTATTGTTATTATAAAAAAGAATTGTCTGAAATTCAAGTTATAAATTTCAAGAGAAGAAAAGGTTCAAATTGTTTATGAAGATAATGGTCTGCAGCATGAAATAAGCATATCACAGTTATCCAATTTTTTTTTTTTGTACCAGGGATCAAACTTACAACCCCATACTTGCAAGGCAGCACTTATGCTGCTGAGCTAAATCCCCTGTCCCCTAAAACTTTTTCTGAGCTACTGCTAAATTTTCTACACCTCTATTTCTTGGGTTCATTTAGTTGAGATAATTTATAGATAGATATATTTGATTCTATGGTTATAACTTTTTCTGGCTTCTTTTGAGACAAGGTCTCACTTTGGTATTCAGGCTGACCTGGAACTCACTGGTAGCACAGGCAAACCTCCAACTTGCTTCTTGAGAAAGAATTATGGGAAGTAAAGTTTTTATATTCTGCATGCCTGAAAATATCTTTGCTTTGTTTGTTTTTCTGAGACAGAGTCTCACTTGTAATTCAGTCTGGGCTTGAATTCACTATGTAGCCCAAGCTGGCCTCGAACTTGATGGGGATCATCCTGCCTCAGCCTCCCAATGACAGGCGTGTAGCTGTCACTCAGCTCTGAAAATATCTTTATTTTACTCTCACACTCACTCGCTGCTTTACTTGATTATAAGAGTCTAGTTGGAAATTAATTCCCTCAAATTTCTGAAGGCACTGATACCTTGTTTTCTAATGTCCAAAGTTGCTGAAAAGTTCAGTGACAGTTCTGATTTTTAATTGCAGGAAATCTATTTTTTGTCTCTAAACAAATCTAGGATTCTCTTACTGCTTTCTGAAATTTCACCAAAGGAGTCATGTTGTATGATCATGTTCATTTGACCATTGGACCTTTTCAACCTAGCAATTCATGACTTTAAATTCTGGGGGCTTACAGATAGACATATTTATTTTACTTTGTTTCGTTTTGAGACAGAGTCTCACTATACAGTTGAGGTTGGCTTTAAACTCACTATGTAGCTGAAGTTGGCCTCGAACTCATAGCCATCCTCCTGCCTCAGCCTCTCAAATGCTAATATTACAGGCCTATGCCACCATACCCACCAGATAGACACATCTGGAAAATTGATCCATTTTGTTGATTACATATCTATGCCACAATTATCATTGATTATCATTGATTTCCATCAACTGAGGACTCTTAAGTTTGAATGATTTGGTTGCTGTCCTTGGGAGTTGGGCATCAGCCAGACCATTTTAAATTCTGACTGTTTCTGCATCATTTCTTTGTCTTTAACAAAAATTATCGGGGCTGGGGATTTAGCTCAGCGGCATAAGCGCCTGCCTTGCAAGCAGGCAGTCGTGAGTTCGGTCCCCAGTACCAATAAAAAGGAAAAAGACAAAAACAAACAAACAAACAAACAAACAAAAAAACAAAAATTATCTCAACTCTCATTCATGTAGGAATCATGTGCATTTGCTTTGTGAAACCCACTGGCTGTAAAACATAAAGCAAAGCACAAAGGCAACAAATTTACCATTAATAACAGATTTGTTACTAATTAACAAATTGACATGTAGATTAATAACATAATGACCAAGCTAGAAATAATGATGCATAGAATATGAGCCTTTATGCCAGCTGTTGATATTCTGCAGTAAATATTTCTGTAGAACATTTCATTTTATGGTAGAGGAGACAACTCTAGAGAGGTAAAGTGTGGGTCACACAGCATCTCCCCTGACTCCTTCCTTTTAGGTGCTGGGGATCAGCACCCTGGGCCTCCCATACACTAGGCAAGTGAGCTACACGCCCAGCCCTCCCTGACTCCTAAAACATTCATACTTTCTCCTTGCTTCGTCTCTCTCCTTGGCTATCGTAGTTAACATTTCTTTTTCCTAAATTCTCTTTTCTTTCTTTATAAGTAAATATACTTTATTTTAAGCCACATCGTTACACGTGTATTATAACACAGTATGTACTTGAGAGGCAGCAAGTAGTAGCCAATGAAGTCATTCTTAATTCTGGAACAAGTTTGCTGGTTCTGAATCTGACTGTGACCTACCTACTAGGTAATTGTTAACTTTATGTTACTAAAACAAAATACCTGGTATAATCAAGTTATAAAGAGTACACATTTATTTTGACTTCCAGTTTTGGAGGTTTCAGTTGAGGATTAGTTGGCTCCATTGCTACAGTCCTGTGCTGAGGCAGCATATATATCAGGCCAACAACAAATGGTGGAACACAAGTGCTCTCTGCATGACCAGAAAGTGAAAAGGATATGACTCAGCACTATAAGCACCTGCCTAGCAAGTACAGAGTCCTGAGTTCGATTCCTAGTAGCCCCTCCCGCCAAAGAAAAAGTGAAAAGGAGAAGGAAGGAGCTGGGGTCCTAATATCCTATCAAGGCTGTGCCCCTGGATAACTGAAGACCTCCTACTGGGTGTTACAGTTTCCTGCCACCTCCCAGTCACACCTGTCTGAGAAACAAGCCTTTACACTTGAGTCTTTGATGA